CCTGGCTGGTTGAAAACCAACCGACTTCGCTGACCGACACGCAGTACAAGAAATGTTTGAAGGATTTGAAGCTTCCTTCCCACAAGATGACTACGCTGGAGAAACAGTTGAAGAAGGTTACCACCTGGTGGAACAGCCAACCGGATGAATCGGCAAAAACGATCCAGAGAGCCAGTGTAGCGATGGGCATTGATGCTTGTAAGCTCAAAAGCTCCTCCACGGATGAGATCGTACTCAAGGTCATGACGGTTGCGATGCTGATGAACTCCTGACTAGGCAGCCACTTGGTTTCCCGGGACTCAAAAGCAGTCCGCATCATGGAAGACCTCACCGTTGCTCATGCATGCATTTTGTCACTGGCTTTACTTACGCCGTTCACTTTGTCTCCTTCTGTTGAAGTCTTTTATTCCTTTCGTATGATCCAAACGGTGTTGATGGGTCAGTATGTTCTACGGCACTCGAAAAGTAATTCGAAGTTGCAAGCTATGCTCAATGGCACCCCTTTTCGGCGAGTATTTTACTGCACCTCGTGGGAGGACCTTGTGTCGTCCCTCAGCTGTTTCAAACAGTTGAACGCTGTGTATGTCAGCTTCTCTCATATTGCTAATTTTCAACCAAAGTTTTATTTGGGTTCTACGTCTTCGTTTGTTCTTTGTCGTGAGCACTCTCGTTACCGAAAGTTTCAAGTAAGGATTTCAATTGAAATCAATTACTTTCAAGTGGTTTCCAATTGATTTTCAATTGATTTCAATACACTTTTAAATGATTTCAATTTACTTTCAATTGAAATCAATTTACTTTCAATTGATTTTCAATTGATTTCAATTTACTTTTAATTGATTTCAATTTACTTTCAATTGATTTTCAATTGATTTCAATTTACTTTTAATTGATTTTCAATTGATTTCAATTTACTTTTAATTGATTTCAGTTTACTTTCAATTGATTTTCAATTGATTTCAATTTACTTTTAATTGTTTTCATTTTACTTTTAATTGATTTCAATTTACTTCGAATTGATTTCAATTTACTTTTAACTAATTTCAATTTAGTTTCGATTGATTTTCAATTGATTTCAATTTACTTTCAATTTACTTTCAAGAGTTTTGTTTTTTCAACCCCAAAAGGTGTTGGGCACAATAGAGTACCATCCAAACGTTCATATTATTGAGTAACTGAGCCACTCATGAGGTGCCCCCTTGAAAAATTGTCTGGATGTTGTTTTTGAAAGAAGGGTTTTTAAAGGCATCTAATTATTTGGAGAAATGTGCATTTTAAAGCTTTAATACAAATATGGCTTTCTAAAGTAAATGGACCAGCTTTACTCAAAGAAAGGTGGAGAAGGTTTTTGATTTTTTCAACCCCCAAAAAACTGTTGGGCGCAATAGAGTACCATCCAAACATTCATATTATTGAGTAACTGAGCCACTCATGAGGTACCCCCCTGAAAAATTGTCTGGATGCTGTTTTTAAATAAAGGTTAAAACCCTGCATTTTCAAGCTTTATCACAAATATGGCTTTCTAAAGTAAATGGACCAGCTTTACTCAAAGAAAGGTGGAGAAAGGGTTTTTGATTTTTTTCAACCCCAAAAGTTGTTGGGCACAAAAGAGTACCATCCAAACATTCATATTATTGAGTAACTGAGCCACTCATGAGGTACCCCCTGAAAAATTGTCTGGATGCTGTTTTTTTTTATAAGGCATCTAATTATTTGGAAAACCTTGCGTTTTAAAGCTTTAATACAAATATGGCTTTCTAAAGTAAATGGACCAGCTTTACTCAAAGAAAGGTGGAGAAGGCTTTTGATTTTTTCAACCCCAAAAAAATTGTTGGGCGCAATAGAGTACCATCCAAACATTCATATTATTGAGTAACTGAGCCACTCATGAGGTACCCCCCCTGAAAAATTGTCTGGATGCTGTTGTTTAATAAAGGTTTTTTAAGGCATCTAATTATTTTGAGAACCCTGCATTTTCAAGCTTTATCACAAATATGGCTTTCTAAAGTAAATGGACCAGCGTTACTCAAAAAAAAGGTGGAGAAAGGGTTTTTGATTTTTTTCAACCCAAAAAGTTCTTGGGCACAAAAGAGTACCATCCAAACATTCATATTATTGAGTAACTGAGCCACTCATGAGGTACCCCCTGAAAAATTGTCTGGATGCTGTTTTTTTTTATAAGGCATCTAATTATTTGGAAAGCCTTGCATTTTAAAGCTTTAATGCAAATATGGCTTTCTAAAGTAAATGGACCAGCTTTACTCAAAGAATGGTGGAGAAAAAGTTCTTGATTCTTTTCAACCCCAAAAGTTGTTGGGCACAATAGAGTACCATCCAATACATTCATATTATTGAGTAACTGGGCCACTCATGAGAAAAATTGTCTGGATGCTGTTTTTTAATAAGGGCTTGATAAGGCATCTAATTATTTGGAAAACCCTGCATTTTCAAGCTTTAACACAAATATGGCTTTCTAAAGTAAATGGACCAGCTTTACTCAAAGAAAGGTGGAGAAGGTTTTTCCCCACCTGCCAGGTGAGGGTTGTTAGATTTTATCACAGTTGTTCTCCTCCTCCTCGGCTAGCTATCCTCCTCCTGCTCCTCCTGCTCCTCCTGCTCCTCCTGCTCCTCCTGCTCCTCCTCCGCCAGCATCTCCTCCACCACCTCTGCCTCCACTTCAACGTCCACTGTTGCCTTGCCAACTCTTCGCCAAGCTCTTTGCCAACGTCCGAGCTCAGTGTGCACCGCTGGACCTCAACCTGGGACCTTCCCAGCTCAGTGGGCACCGCTGGACCTCAACCTGGGACCTTCCCAGCTCAGTGGGCACCGCTGGTTTGCAATTCATTGGAATCACCCCCTTGGCTCTCATGGTTGGAAGCAGGCTCAGACTGATGAGCAGTGTTGCCAAGACCGTCTTTCTCTTCTTCATCATCAACTTCTTCATCAACTTCAACTTCTTCATCCTCCTCTCTCTCTTCCTCCTCCGGGTCTTCTGAATCTTCAACAAACTCCTCCATCTTTAGGTCACCATCGCTGTCTTCTTCCTTTTCGTTTTTCTTGGTGCCCTGCTTCGCCTCTCCTTTGTCACACACCTTTGCCTTCTTTGCTTCTGCCCGTCGTTCATCTGGCTTGTCGGTGTTCTCCTTTGACTCTTCTTTGTCGTTCTTTGGCTTTCCTCTGTCGTCTTCCAATTTCTTGTCCTCCTCATCCAGCTCCTGTTCCAACTCTGCGATCATGCCATCAAGATCACTGTCATCAGAAGAGAAAAGGTCTGAATCTTTGTCGGCCACCTTGGCCTTCTTGACATGTTTGGCCACAAGTTTCTCCTGTGCTTTTCTTTTCATTGCTTCCTGTGCTTCTTTCTGAAGCCGCTTCTCCTTGGAGCTCTGCAGCACTTCCTGTGCCGGGCTGGTTGCCTTGTCACCCATCACTGGCTTCTCTTGGCTATCATTTTTCACCTTTTTCTTCTCTTCCTTCTGCTTCTTGTCTTTCTTGTCTTTCTCCTCCTTTCCATCTTTCTTCTCCTTTCTATCTTTCTTCTCCTTTCGAGCTTCCTTCTCCTCTGCCTTCTCCTTTCGCTCTGCCTTCTCCTTTCGCTCTTTCTTCTTCTTTCGAACTTTCTTGTCTTTCTCCTGCCTGTCTCTCTCATCCGCCTTCTCCTTCTTCAAAGCTGCTGTCTGGCCACCTGTGTTGCTAGCCTTGCCCTTCACACTCTTCTCTCCTGCTTTGCTCCTCTCCTTGACAGCCTGCATCTCTTCGGTTCCAGGCTTCTTCATTGTTGCCTTCTTGTCATCTGCTGCCTTGCTTTCTTTCACAGCCCTTGGCCCTGCCTTCTCCTCTGCCTTCTCCTTCTCTACCTTCTCCTTCTTACTTTTCTCCTTCTTACTTTTCTCCTTCTTACCTCTCTCCTTCTCATCGTTCTTGCTCGGGTTCTTGGAGGTCTTGGCAACCTGGAGATCATTTTTTGCATTCAATGCCGCCAGGTCCCGAAGAGGTTGACTAGAAACATCTTGGGAATCACCCGCAGCACTCGGAACTTCAGAAGGTGATTTGATAGAATTGGTTCCACGGTTGGATGGGGTCTTGTAAACAAAGGGCTGGTCCTTGCTGAAGGCAGTGGTTGACGATGCTGGACTACATCCTTCAGCCTTGGGTTTGGTCTTCCCAGTGATCCTGGTAGCGGGTGGATCATCAGATTTTGCCTTCTTTTTGACATGTGCCTTAACCTTGGCCATCGACCTACACAGGGTGTCTATGTCTCTGACCTAGGTAGCCCCTGGATCCAAAATGACTACGTAATTACATCAGATGGGTTTCGATTGCACATCCCAAGAGACAACCAACATATCATCAAAAAACGTGATGTAAAACCCTTAGATACATTTCAGCACTTTTCTCGCCAAATCGCGGCTATTTCTCGACAATTCGCGGCTATATTGTGGTATGGTTGGTTAAAAAAAATAAGATGTCGTCAAGATGTTCACTTATACTTCTGGAAACCACACCGGCACTTTTCCCAAGCTTGGCATGGGTGGGCGCACCACTCTTTGTCACATTCTTGAGGACGAGTCTTGGCATATGGCCACCTCCAAGCGACACCAAGTAGCACCAAGGAGACAGTGGGTTGGATTGGTATTGGGGTCGCTGGTGTGAGGACATAATCAACAGCGGTTTCCACAAAAGCACCTAACATACATCCGAACATATTCCAGAATTTGAATTCTTTCTATTTCTAAGTTTATAGATTGGCATTGGGACATCCTGTCCTTCGCTCCCTTTTCACTTGCTTCCCCTTGCGATGATTGAACCCCCTCTAAAGCATGGGGAATTTACATGGCATCTACCCACAGGGGTTGCCGGTTTGAATCCATAGTGGCAAACAATATCATGGGACATTCATTGCAACCATTGCTGACCGCTAGCCTCGCCTGTGGAAAGCAATTGGCCATGAATTATGGCTCGGAAAGGCATCTAATTGCCAAAAGAAAGGTGAAATACCTTTATGAGGTGAGATATTCCAACACTGTTTCCAGGTTGGCATGCTTCACCCAAAAAGACATCTGGTGGGAGGTATTTTTAAAGGCTCCCTTGCGAACACTTCCGGCTGCTCGTTTCAGGAGAGCCCGAGCCATCCGCTTGCTGCGCTGCAAGTGCTTGGTCCGCAGCTTTGCCAGGGCTTTGCCAAACCTGGGCTGGCCGATAACAGGGGGTAAGGACCCACTTGAAATAATCAGGGATGTTCATATCTTTATGTCCTCAACGAACTGGGATCCAGACTATCATGCTTATTTGCAACAAAGTTGAGATAACCAAAACAATAGATAAGTTTCTAGCCATGAAACGCACGCGCGTAAGCTTGCGAAAGCTTTAGCTGGGCATTGCCTTTAACCCGCTGCTTCCCCTTGCTGTCTACATAGAAATCAACAAGGCTCTTTCGCTCATGTTGTGGGATACCTTGGGGCTGGAACTCCATGAGCTGCTCAATCTCTTGTCGGCCTAGGAAGATGTTTGGGGGTTGATAGTTCAATTGAGCAGCGTCGAAAGCATTCGGTTTATCGTTAATACTGGGGCCCTTCGAACCTATGAAAAGGGATCATTTTATACAATGCACAATTTGGATGGCTATTGACAAAGCAAGTTTTCGACGCTGCTCAAATGTCATCTCTATGGTCATATTTGGATGTGTATGAAGCTGGTAGATACCTTCACAATAGCGATTTCATTGATATATGCGTTTGTAAACTCACAGCCTGTGATATATGTTTGTACTTGCATGAAACAGACCTGGGCGTCCCTACTCGAGTACAGCCATGTACCCTTCCCAGAGGAAGCGCCAAAGTCACCCATGCGGATAAATTTTCTCCACAAGGGAACCAGGTCCATCACGGCTTCAAAGCAAGGGTGAAATTGCATCAAGCTACCCTTTGGCTGCTCACATACTACCCAAATCCCTCTTGCTGCCGCTAATATCATGAGGATACAGCAACGAGCCACCATTTGGTTTGCAGTAAGAACGCTGCTGTATCTCTCCCACCCCAGCGGCATGGCTTCACTTCTCAGCGTAGATCCACGCGCCCTTAGACAGGATAGACCCCAATGCTACCATATTTTGGTGCCTGTTTAGGTGGTAATAAGCCAGGGCACAATAACCTATCTTTTTTGGGGAATAGCACTGTGTATGGTTCCAAGAAACACCCACACCCATGTCGAACACACAGGTGCTAGGAATAAGCTGCTACCTGGCTTCAAGGACAACACTTGGTAAAGTGCATGTGCAAAGCCTTGGGGTGTCATGATGTCCATAGCTGTGCCACCAAATTCAATGTCCAGAGCTGCACATTTGCGGCCCTCCTGTAAAGTTAGCAAATGTATGCAGGCTGTATCTACATTACATCCAAAGATTGGACAGAAACGATATCATTGTTTGAATAGAGTTATGGATTAAAGCAACCACAGATACAACATCTATACGGCCATACATGCAAAGCTTCATCAACGCAGAGAGTCTTTGGCTATGGATGTAATTAGTATGTTTGCGCGCATGGAAGCATGCACATATGTATGTATGTATGCATGTTTGCATGTATGCAATTCTCTGTGCATTGCCTTGCATATCTTTGGAAAGGGAATGGAATGAAATGAAATGGAATGCAATGGAATGAAATCGGGTGAAGGGATTGTGAAACAATCTGTGTATGTAAGTGTATGTAAGTGTATGTATGTGTATGTGTGTGTATGTATGTCTAAGTATGTGTATGTATGTGTATGTATGTGTATGTATGAATTTATGAATGTATGAATGCATGTATGTATGCAGGAAAGTAATTATCTATCTTCCTTTCCTTTCCTTTCCGTTCCTTTCCTTTCCTTTCCTTCTTTCTTTCTTTCTTCCTAGTTGTATCTATCTTTGTTATCCATGTTCCTGCGTATCTATGTATATATGCACGTATGCATGTTTGCATGCAACTATGTATGCATCTATGTCAATTACGAAGGTATGTGGGGATGTAGGAATGTACGAGTGTAGAATTGTAGGTGTGTAGGTGCGTAGGTACGCAGGTATGTAGGCATGTAGGTATGTATGTACACACGTGCACACATCTATGCACTGATTTATGCATATATCTAAGTATCTGCGTAGTGTACAGTGCTTTATATATCCCAACTCCCTTTGAAGGTCCTGTTGTTCTCCAAGCGTCACTGAACAGCAGCCAGCAAAAAGCTCGACATGGTCAATTGGAGTCCACGGTAATGCTGGCACACTGAACATCAAGCCGGCCAGGATGGCCATAATCTTCAGGGGTGCTCATGTAAAACGAACGAAGTAAACATTGTTTTTTGGTGGCCTGTTTTATGGGGTCATCCCATTTGAGTATTTACAACGGTTGAACCCTTACATACCTACCTACCTACCTACCTACATACATACACTTACATACATTTACATACACTTACATACACTTACATACACTTACATACACTTACATACACTTACATATACTTACATTGGTAGTCCCATGTAAATGTAATATGCACTTAGTAACTTGTAGAGAAACAAATCCCTGTGATATTCAAAATAGTTTGGGTTAAACCGTGCCCCACAAACATTTTCTACCTTGGGGGCATTGACTCCAAACCGCATAAAACCGAACTCATGTGGGTTCAACCACTTCCCCATAATTCTTTTTTTGCCAGAATAGGGGTGGGGGCACCCAAATCATTTTGGGTTAAGCCATTTCCCCATTATAAAATTCTTACCTGGGGCACACCGATTCAATACCCCATCTCAAATCATTTTGGGTTGAGCCACTTCCGCATATGATATTTTTCTAACTGGTTGGTGTTGATTCAGTACACCATCCCAAATCACTTGGGCTGAGCCATGTCCCTAAAACGATAGATAGAAGCCTTGGGGGCACCAAGTAGTTTCAATCCCATCATGGTCTGCTTCCGGTGCTTCCAGACTACGCTGCCGCGTGAGGTCACGCCATCTTCAAACATTGCTGCGCTTGCGACACAAGCCCGCACGGCACTTGGCTTCCCCATGCTAACGCCAGGGAGCTAGTCAGACCTTTGGATTTCGAGCCACCACCTCGGTCTTTGGATATGTGATAAGTAAGCTTTCTGATGATAGCCTTTGCCATTCACCTTGGAAATTTTGGTGAAACAAAGATTGGTTGGATTCTCACGAAAACAGTGTGGGGATTTCTTCCGTGCAAAACGGCATGTTTGACAGATGCTCTATATATATATATATACATATGTATATGTATATGTATATGTAACCACAAAACTTATGTGGTCTTGACAATCCATAAGCATTTTTTTGACCCGTGCGCTCTGGCATGGCGCGCCTAGTTGGACATCATGCAAATCAACGACATCACACCTGGCGAAATGACGAGGACCACCCCGGGCCAGGGCGTGCCTCTTCCATGTGTTGCCACGCTCGTTGAACCCCGGCAGCGCGGTCTTCCCAAAGTTTTGTTTTCGGATATTGTTGGAAAGTGTTGCCATATATAGGATCTCATTTTTAAAGTTATGGTTAGTTTAAACGTTTTCTGAAATTTTGAAATGGGCAATCCCCAGCTGGTTCTAAGATCCAGTTTCTAAGATCCAATCTGGGCGCGAGGATGAAAGATTTGTAAATCAAGTTGTGGGGTATCAATGTCAGAGTGGCTTACCCATACAGATGGGGCAAGATATTAGCGCACAATGAAGAGATATCTTAACAACCATTTGAGCCAAATGCTTTGGCAAGTCCAAGCGTTGGAGATGGTTCGTGTGTCCATTGAACGGTCGAATTTGTGTTTGTATGTTCTGACCTTCCCAGCAACGACTTGTTTGTTCCAGCTAAGAAAGCAAAAAGCAGCAAATTTGATTGAACATTTGACACTAGTTTCGTCAGAACCCCATTGCAGACACACCGCGCTCTGAGCGTCTCATTCAAGACGTTTTCAAGAATGAGATAAGCAAAAACCCCAGCAACAGCTAGGATCCTGGACCCACTCCGCCACATCGATAATAGTGAAGCGCATGAAGTGAACAAGACTCTAAACAGCGTGATCCAGTTGAACCCAACATAGAAAAAATGCAAAAATTGATCCCAGCTCAGGTCTCAGGAACCCTAGGGAAAGGACAGGCCAGATCGCTCTTTTGCAATCGACCAGGCAGACTTTACACCATTGTTTTTGGCCCATGAGACCTGCCCCACAGGTCCCCGTACCTTTGGGGCCAACCTTCTGGACAAAAAAGGCTTCCTTCTGAAGCATGTTGTGGACGTTCTGCGCACCATCATTCCCAAGGCGCTCCTACATCGTTATATTGGCCTCCTTCCCGTACTACCCCTCCAACATCACCATCCAGACTGCTTTTGCGACAGAGTACCCCTACACCAGCTGGACCGACATCTTCGCTCCATCATCCTGAACCTCCCCGATCTGGCCTGAGTAGCCGCGCAGATATGTCCGATTCGAGCGTCTAGCCAACTAACTTGTCTCTGTTGATAAAAAAACAGAAGGAAAAAAGGAGACAGCTACGATTTATTGATGCACCGTCTCACTCAACAAGTTGCTGGACCTGATTTCTATTTGCGTCCCAACTGTGGTTATTGCTTTCATTTTATTCCGCAGCTCATTTCATTTACTCCGCTCTCTGTGTTGCGCGATGGCTCCAAAAGAACTTCGGCATCACCCCTATCGAGCCGTCTCCAATGTCGAGACTCCTGTGGGCACTCAAACATGTTCTTGGTATGCTGGACCTGGGCAACAACCTGCTGGTACTGGCCCACCTCCGGACAGACCCATTTTGATCATTGTGGATTATTCACCGCTACAATCCCTGGCTCATCCCAGTGAACTTGATCACGCCTCTTTCTCGGCTTTCCGGGGGCACAACTTTCGTTACACATCAGCTGGAGAACTGGAAGCTCTTTTCACTTGGGCACAACTGTTCCCTCCTGACGAAGCGGATGCAATCCAATTCACACATTTGAGGCCACAGATCATTCTTCGTCTTCGTACTCAATGGAACATTCGGATGGTCCCTTCAGATCTAGAGTTCCGCTACGCTGACCTCACCGGTGATGTTTTTCAAGTTCGCAACGACTGGACGATCATGCAGCTTTTGAACGAGTACCGACCTGAGTGGCGTCTTCGACAATATAGTTGTAGACAATCATCCCCACTTGTCCCGGGTACCGAGCAACCCTTCATTTTGAGACTGACTTGTCACAAAGCTCGACAAGGCGTCATCCTTCCGTGATTTGTCTCACCACAATTTCTTCCATCTTTACCCGGAATACGGAAAAGCTTCTACTGTATTTCTCTGGCATTATCTATTTCTACGTTGGTGATGTCGAATTACTATCTGTTCCTTTCTTTGCGGTTTCCACTTTTTGACTTTTTTAACTACCATTCTGGACTTGCACTTCCCTTTGGCCATATTACATTACCATCCTACTTTTCGGCTTATTTTACTACGACCGTTCATCCAGATTTATCAGCTGTGACGGTTCTCCCCGGTTCTCGATCTCTTCACCGATGGAGCACAAACGTGACGTAGATGCAGCTGGCTTGTTTTGGCCTCGAACTACGGCTCGATCCTCACATAGTACTGCTCGATCACCAGACGCATCGTCATCTTGCAGCACCTTTGCATTCATCGTCGGCAGCTACTCCGGCTACTACCACCTGGTCCTCTTCATCTCCGGCACCGGACAATCCCTCGATTTGGGGATGTATTCAGCGACAACGGAACTCAGCCTCCGACTCCATTTCCAACCTCGGGACATCATCACATCACCCCTCCTCACCGTGGTCACTTAAATGAACGACTAGTACATCAGATCTACTTCAAGATTTTTACCTATTCCAACAACACTCAAGAACTCTCGATCATGGAGATACCGTCGACGGGCTGAACAGAGACCCCGAACAATTTTTCTTCACAATGACCGGAGACTGGGAGTGGTCCCAGCGTACGGCGGATTACTGGCGCCACTTCTTTGGTGTACCTATGCGACATGGAACCAGCAATTACTCAAACACCGCAGCCGACCATTGCTGTTCTCGCGACAGAGCTACAGGGCCTATTGTCCTCACCTTCGGCATCTGGGGAACTACTGGACCACTTGACCGTTGAGCAACGAACAACTTTGACTGAAGTTCTCCAGATCCTGTCGACGTCACAAAGTACGTCACTCGCGGATATCGATTGATCAGTATTTCCCCCTGGCTAGGATCGCTGTTGTACCATAGCTCGCAGCTTTCGCCTCTTCCGGAAAATAAACCCTGCTACGGCAG